TTTCAGTCAAGTTTTGTCGGGGATATTCTATTTGCAAAATCCGTGTTGAATAGCCAATGTCAGTACACTTACAATAAATCAGTCAATCTTATCTTCTCTCCGTTGAGAAAAATCAACACTCCTGTTTTACTTTATTATCATTTATACCAACTGGTTTTTTCAAATATATTATATGCTGCAATGGTGCATGCAGATATGCAGTTTCTACGTCTAAATGGTTAACTATATAATTCTTCTTAGCTGCCCACACTAACGCTGCTCTTAAAGTTGTAGCCTTAAGATTTGGTGCAAATACCTCATCATAATCAAATACATTTTGATTAAATCCTTGTGCTACTAATCTAGCCTTATAAGTTACTTTCCCATTATTTCCAGTCTTTACTTTAAATATCCATTTGCACCCAATGGATTTTTCTCCTGGAGGTAATTTGGTTTCTTCATAAACCTTCATTTCCTTTAATGAATTTAACTCTTTTTCCATTGCCTTTTGCCAATTCTCCTGATCCTTAGCAGGATACATCTTAAGTTCATCTATGCTAGTTGGAACTTTATTTACTTGGCAAACAATACTTGCCTGATATCTATCAGGTGGTCTAGTTATACGCGTTGTGCGTCTAGGTATAACAGGACTTACAGGTGGACTTTCCTTTATTTCCTGTTCTTGACTATCTATCTCTTCTTGATCAATTATCTCCTCTTGATCTGATTCTATTTGCTCTTCATGGACTTCTTCTTTAATTGGACTTTTCTTATAACTAGTCTTTTCTTTTTGCCTCTTGTAGGGTTCTATAATTATATCATTATCTGAATCTTGCTCTATTCTATTCCATCCTATATGTTCTAGGAATTGTGCACTAGCACTGCAGTATACTCTAGTTGTACCTGGTTCCCAGAATCTATAAAATCTATGGTTTGCTTGATATCCAACAAAAATTAATCTTTTAGCTCTATGTTGTCCTTTGTGCCTGAGTTGTGTGGGGATATGCACCCATGCTGGTGCACCAAATGTGTGAATATAACTCAAATCAGGTTTCCTACCATGCCACAGAGTGAATGGTAATTCACCTGTTGTTGAATTAACAACATTGTTTAATATGTGATTACCACACATTATAGCTTCTCCCCACAAATTGTCAGGTAATCCAGAATCAGATAACATTGTCCTTCCCACTGATTGCAGTGTTTGACCTCGTCTCTCTATAAATGCATTATGTTGAGGCCTATATGGTGCAGACTTTTTATGTTGAATACCTGCCATTCTAAGTCTATTCTGGAATTTATTATTTGTAAATTCCGCACCATTATCTGTTATAAGAGTTACTAGTTTCTTTTTAGTTTTCCTCTCTGCAAATTTTAACCAATTAAAGAAATTTGTATACGTTTCAGTTTTTCTCTTCATTAAAAAATAGAAACCATACCTAGAATAGTGGTCCATTATGCTTAATATGTATCTTGCACCACCTACACTTGGCTTTTTAGGACCTATTATATCGGCAAATACTACCTCTAAAGGTTCTTTGGTAGTAAATCCATCAACTCTATTTGCCGGTATGACTTTGCTTTTGTTTTGATTACAAGCAGAACATTGCAAATACTTATTACAAGGTTTCAAACTTATTCCTTTAGATAGTTGAACAGTTCTCTTAATCATTTTAAAATTTAAATGACCTAGCCGTCGGTGTAACAAGTGAATACATTCATTATGAGGTTTCTTATTATCATAAATTGTGTTAGCCACCTCTAAACCATTATCATTTAACACATATAAGTCACCTCTTAAAGATGCAGTAATTTTCTTACCTTCTTTTTCAATTAAACAATTATCTCCCTTAAAGGTAATTATGTATCCTAATCTAACCAACATTCTAACTGAAAGCAAATTAAATTTAAATTGAGGTACATATAACATTTTTATGTTCTCATTTATACTAGAACAATGAGCTATACCTTCACCTTTTGCCTTCAATTTCCATCCGTTTGCCAATGAGATATGTTGTGAACTCATGGACATTTTTACAAATTTTTTGTTATCATTTGTAATACAGTGGGACGCACCACTGTCAACCACCCATAAATTATTTTTTACAACTCCATTACTATACATTGCTAACTCATAATTCTTATTTCTTCTTTGATGGCTTACAGCATTCTGGCTTGCATTCTGGCACTTTGGTTTCTTACAAAATCTTGCAAAATGTCCTCTCCCCCCACAATTAAAACACCTTTTAATTGCGAATGCAGTAGGAGATTCATTATTTTCCTTTTGAGGTTGCTCCCTCCTTAACTGATCTCTTTCAAGTCTTCTTCTGGCCTCTTCAATCAATCTGCCAGTGATATCAGTTAAAGTTAGGCTTTCTTTAGGCAATATTTCAAGGGAAGTTACGTAGTCATCAAAACTTTCGTCTAATGAAGATAGAATTATGTAGACCTGGTGTAGCTCAGAGAAAATTAACTCCTTCTCATGAAGTTCTTGGAAAATGCTTTTCATAGTATTCAAATGACTCAGCATATCACCATTCTTTTGGAGATACGTCCGGAAAAGCTTCCGTGTTAGATTTATGTGAGCACCAACGTTATCTCGAACATAAATCCTCCTCAGTTTTTGCCAACACCCAACAGCAGTTTGCTCTCCACGTATATGAACAAGTTGTTGATCAGTTAATGTTAGTCCTATGATGCAAAATGCTTGTTCATTTTTCTGTTTAAATTCTTCTATCTTTTTACTATCTTCCTCATCTTCAGGATCCCATTCTTCTACGTTAGGTGGATTTTCAATTATGTTCCACAGACCTTCTCTTCGTAGAAGTAGACTACATTTCATAGACCATGAAACATAGTTTGTTCCATCCAGCTTGGATATAAGGGACAAACTTTGTAGACTGACTTGTGCCATGTTTCACTATATAGATATAAAACTATAATTGATAAAACACAGCTGTCTGTTTACTGTAACGTGTAACAACACAAAAATCTCACTTTTTACATAAACCTGTTTTTATCCTAGTTAAACTGACTTTGCAGTCTCTCTGGGCCCATAACCAGTGTTAAGCCTGGATTCCCCAACGGGTGTTAAGGAAAAACAAACTAAACAGAACGTGCAGCGAAGTCAGATAGGAAGACAGGTAAATGTGTGAGATAAGTTTTCTAGTTAACACGCAGTAAAAATACAGATACGCTTGTGCTATCAAAAATATAGTTTATTCCATTTAAGAATTATAGCATAGTCAAGATAACGGTCCATTAGTCATATATCAATTTCAGTCAAGTTTTGTCGGGGATATTCTATTTGCAAAGTCCGTGTTGAATAGCCAATGTCAGTTCACTTACAATAAATCAGTCAATCTTATCTTCTCTCCGTTGAGAAAAATCAACACTCCTGTTTCACTCCCCGTTTCAGCAAGAACGCAGTCATCAATCCATTCAGTAATTAGAGATCAGTAGGCCAGAGAGAGAGGGAGCTGCAATTGTCTCGCTTCTTATATAGTGCTTTTACAACCACACCCTTAATTACATTCTTGCTGTTAAAGTTACACACACTTTAACTAACAAACCATGATACCATATTTATTATTTTTACCCAAACCAGTTAGGGTAAACAATGTTATCCCTAACATTGTGTATTCCTGGACTAAAAATGTAAAGATGGTGAATCAGGAAGGGCTCTGTATGCTTATGTAAAAATATCTCAAAAATATGATAAATAGCATTATACAAAACAATCAAAAATCTAAATTTAAATTGCAATCTTAAATACTTTTATTAAGAGTTTTTCTGGATCATAAAAACAAGATACACCACAATCTACTAAAATACATTTTGATGTCTGCAAGAAAAATGGGGTTACAAAATTGGAAAACAATTTATAGCAGATTAGAAAACTAAACTTGGAGAATATGCAGCAATGGTGAAACCAATGGTCTATATTCACAATAGATTAACCAAATTGAAGCCAAATATGTATTATACAACAAGACAAACTTAATCATGTAGACATTTAAAATACCATTTTGAAAGGAAAATAAAAAAAACTACATGAAAGTACCTATAGATAAATTAGAAACAGTTCCAATGCTTCCAAATATACTAATCATAATTAACAGTTTGGCACAATGAAGGGAAGAGTGTAATTTGCAAACATATAACTGTAAGCAATAAAATAAAATTGACTTGTATTGTTTAATTATAGTATTTTTTTAAAAAATGCATTTGATTATTTTATAGTTTATAATGTGTGCCTATTGCTTTTGGTACTTGCATTTTGCATAGAGTGTAATAGTGATTTTAAATTAAGTTTTATTCTCACATATTGGAATACTGGAAAATTATAACAGAATAACAAAGTAACAGAAAACAGAGTTGGAAGGGACATTGGAAATTTTCTAGTCCAACCCCTTGCTTAGGCAGGCAACCCTATAGCCGTGATGGCGAATTTATGCCACAGGTGCTAGAAGTGGCATGCAGAACCATGTCTCCAGGCATGCCAGTAGTCGCCCGTTGCTCTTCCAGGTTCTGGTGTGCGCATGCGCGTGCTGGCCAGCTGGTCTTTGCACACACAGGCATGTTAGAAACTGGAAGACCAGGGGGAAGTTAAGCTTCTAGTTTCCAGTGCTCCCACACACACGTCGGGGAGATGTCCTTCCAGTTTCCAGCATGCACACATGCAGGCTCCAGGGGTGGGATTCTACCAGTTCGGCCCGGTTCTATAGGACACCGGTTATGTTATGGTTCCAGGTAGTTCGGAGAACTGGTAAATCGGGCCTCTGACTGGCCCCACCCCTCTCTGCCTGCTTCTCCGTTCCCTGCCCATTGTGCGCATGCATGACATGCCTGCAGCCTGCTTCTGCCCGCCCACCAGGGCAGCCATTTCTACCTGCCTTTCGCTGCGGCAGAGCAAAAACCTTGCAAGTTCCCCTCCCTTCAGGAAATGGCTCCTGGGCAGCAAAGAGAAACAGGATTCAACCAGGCTGCTTCTCTGCTGCCCAGGAGCTGTTTCCCGAATGGAGGGGAACTTGCAAGGTTTTTGCTCTGCCGGGAGAGGTGAGAGAAGCAACCCGGAGCTGACACGAGCCTCTCCACTGATCTGCCTGCTGACAGGTAAGCCGGCGAGTCATGTTAGCCCTTCTCACACTGTCCTTAGACCTCCCCAAGCCCCCCCCCAAGCCATCTTCGGGCCTCCCCCGGCCTCCCCCAGCTATCTCCAGGCCTCCCTGGGCCTCGCTCAGCCTACCTACCTGCCCCCCCATCCCTGGGCTCGGCTGGCTGGCTTCCCTACTGGCGCGGTCCCGTCCCACCGGCGGTGCTGGCTGGGGCCCACCTGCCTTCCACCACCACCCCATCCCCAGGCTCTCCCAGCTCTCCCTACCACATGGCGGCTGCGGTGCCGCAAGTGGCGGTGGTGCTCCAACAGGTAGGTCGGTGGATGCGGCTACCTCCTGTAAGCAGCACCACCACCTCTGGAAAGGAAGCGGGCAGAGATGGAGACAGCGTTGCTTATGGAAGGCAGCCAGGTCCACTGCTGCACGTGGAGGTGCTGTGAGAGGACCAGGGTGGGGGGATGGTGCTCAACGCCCAGCTGGCGCTGCCGCCGCCACATGTGGAGATGCTGTGAGAGGACTGGGGTGGAGGGGTGTTCAAAGCCCCACTTCAGGAGCAGCAGCAGCCGCCCCCCCCGCTTTCTTCCTTTTCCCACTCATTCACCCCATTCCTTTGTGCGCTCTTTTCCCACCCCAAATTGCTTTCTATTCGCCCCGTTCCTTTGCTGTGCTCCTTTCACCCCCCATTGCTCGCCTTTCACTCCCATTGCTCTCCCGCCCACCCGCCCACTGCTCCCCTTTTGCCTTTTGCTGCCACCACCAAAGCCACCGAAGCAAATCCCCTGCCACAGGCGCAATTCCGGGACGTGCTGCCTTCGCCTCTTGCCTTCCCTGTGAGAGCCTCAATGGTAGCCCTCTCTGTGATATCTTTCGAGTTTATTTTGCAAAATCTGTAAGCAATAATAGCAGGATAAATCATCCCTTTCCCCTGGAGTTCTTTAATGCAGTGGTTGCCAACCATGAGAAAATTTTGGTGGTCCGCAGAGAAATGTCACCCCCAGAGCACCCCCCAAAGCAATTAATCCAGGCTGTGCAGGAACACAAGGCTGTGCCGCCTACATGAGCCATGGGAACCCTCCCCGCCCACTCACTCCTTACCTGGCAAACTTGCTTGCTAAGTTGCTATTTTTCCTTTTTTTCTCCGACTATCAGCTGTTCTGCTGTGCTGGGAGATTTAGACTAGCTAGAAAGCAGGAAATCCTTCATTTTTTTGCTTTCTAGCTAATCTTTAGATCTTCGGCTCTGCTTTTAAGCAGAGCCCAACTTTCCTTAGGACCGAAGCTTTTATTATTCAGTGCAGACTCACTGCAAGCAAATTTTATATGACAGACTCAGGTAGCCGATGGCAGATAGATAGATCTCTGATGAGCAACTCAATCTGCCTGCCTGCTTTGCCTGATTTTAGGTAAAAGTTGCTCTTTTTTCATAAAAAATTCAATATTTACATACATGGTTGTCAAGCATCCAGAAAGTATCCATGATATCAATCACTCCGAGACGTTATCTCTCCAATTGATTTATTAGGAACAGATCTGGCATGTCAAAAGCAATTTCCCAAGTGAAAGTTTTTTGGCGCGTTACACAGAACCCACCTTCTCTCCTCCCTTCTACACTTCATAAATCACGAGAACCAATTAACTGCAACTGGAAATTCTTAATACAACACACAGAATAACCTTGAACTTTTCAACTCCTCTAACACTCTAAAAAAATATGTGGCAGCTGAATTTTAAAGCTGACAGGAGTCCCCCCTTGAAAACTCCTCCTCCTAAAAGAAAAGAAAAAAAAACACCCCCTCTCCCACCCCACCAGGACCCTTCGTTTTGTGAGGAAAATCCTCATGGAATTGGTTAACCAATTGATCAGCATGAACATCCCAACTCTTTACCCAACTAGCATCTGAGAGGGGGTATCCTTTCCATAAGACCAAATATTGCAATCGGCCACGGTGTAATCGAGAATCGAGAATTTTTTGAATATCATAATGTTTCCCCATGTACCGTCAACAGTTTAGGGGGAGCGAGTGGTAGTGATCTTATCATTGATGTAGTAGCTGGTTTTAGTAGACTACAATGGAATACTGGATGAATTTTCCCCAATAGTCGAGGAAGATGTAATTGGACAGTGACCTGATTGATTATCTTTGAAATTGGGAATGGACCCAAGAATTTTGGACCCAGCTTCTTACTGGGCAGTTTTAACCTAAGATACTTGGTCGACAAATATACTTTGTCCCCTATTTTAAAAGGCAGTTGAAAGGATCTATGTTTATCCACCTGTTCTTTACAAATTTTTGCAGCTTCGTTCAAAGCTTTTTTTGTATCTTCCCACCCTTTCTTTAACGAGCTCATCCATTCTGTCAGGGACATGGATGAGGGAGGTTGTCTAGATAACTCTGGCATCGGGACAAAATCCATTCCAGTGTTGATTTGGAATGGAGTCAGTCCCGTGCTGCTATGTACTGCATTATTGTAAACAACCTCTGCACAAGGTAATAACTCAGCCTAATTTTCTTGTTGATAATTTACAAAGCATCTAATGTATTGTTCAATCATGGCGTTAGCCCTCTCTGCTGCTCCGTTACAAGCAGGATGGAAAGCTGAGGATAACCCTTGAAAAGAACCAATGGATTTCAGAAATTCCCTCCAAAGTTTTGCGGTAAATTGTATCCCTCTGTCTGATATTATTCTGCGAGGTACACCATGTAGTCTATAGATAAGTTTCACAAACAGGTTTGCAAGTTTTTTCGCAGATGGAAGCCCTTTGCAGGCTATAAAATGGGCCTGTTTAGAGAATGTCAATTATAGTCCAAATGACCGTATTCTCTTCACTCTTAGGTAATTCAACAATAATTCAACAATAAATCCATTGCGATTTCTTCCCAAGGTTGGGTTGGTTCAGCAACTTGTTGCAGGAGGCCAGGGAGTTTTCCAGTTCTGTGGTTCATCGTGGCACAAATTGAACAACTTTTTACATAGTCCTCGACATCAGGTTTCATTTTTGGCCACCAGAACTGTCTTCTTAGTAAATGTAGGGTTTTTAGGAATCTGAAGTGGCCTCCCAGCCAGGAGTCGTGGCTACACTTTAGTACCATTAGTCTCAGGGTTGTGGTTACATAAAGCTTAGTCCCTTTCCAAGCTAGTCCATCATTCATTGTCAACTCGGTTTGATGGTCCAGGAACCAAGGATCGGTCAATAGGGCTGTTTTCAATTCCGCAGTCAGCTTATCTTCCAGGCGTTTGGGGTTGCGGTTAGCCTGGGTTCGAGTGGTTACTTGGCCGGCCAATTGAGCATCTGAAATTAAGGCTTGTACTATTTCCTCTCGGTGGCTGTCAAACTGAGGTTTTCTGGACAGAGCATCCGCCAGTACGTTTTTCCCTCCGAGATATATTTAATGTTGAAATTGAATCGCTTGAAATATTGGGCCCAGCAGACTTGTTTGGGCGATAATCTCTTAGGGGTCTTTAGAGCCTTGAGGTTCTTATGATCAGTCCATACCTCAAAGGCCTCTGGCGCCCCTTCTAGAAAATGCCTCCAAGTCAATAAAGCCCATCGAACTGCGAATGCTTCTTTCTCCCAGACTGCCCACCTTCGCTCTGCATCTGTCAGCTTTTTGGACACATAAGCGCAAGGCATCAGTCAGCCTTGGGAGTCTTTTTGCAGCAAAACAGCTGCCACCGCTACATCACTTGCATCTGTTTGGACAATAAAAGGCTTGGTCGCATCTGGGTGCTTGAGGATGGGCTCTGTTGCAAAGAGGCATTTTAATATCTTGAAAGTTTTCTGACAGTCCATAGTCCAAGCCAGGGGTTGACTCGGTTTTGGTTTGGTGGGTGACGGGCCCGTTTTTAATAGCTTTGTCAACGGGAGGGCAACTTCAGCAAAGGACGGAATGAATTGTCTATAGAAGTTGGCAAACCCTAAGAAACTTTGAAGTTGTTTTCGGGTTCTGGGGGGTTGCCAGTCCAGCACCGCTTTCACCTTTCCGGGGTCCATTTCAATCCCCAGGTTGGATATTCGGTAGCTTAGGTAGTCTAGTGACTCTTTGTGGAATTCGCATTTTGAGAGTTTCACATATAATTTGGCGGCTAGAAGTTTTTCTAGAACCTGTCGGACCAATTGAACATGTTCTTCCATGGTTTCACTGAAGATAATGATGTCATCCAGGTACACGAGGACCCCCCCCCAGTAAAGGTGCGAGTATAGCACCTCATTGATGAGCTGCATAAACACTGCAGGGACCCCCTGAAGTCCGAAAGCATGACTTTGAATTGGAAGCTACCCAGAGGGCAGTTAAAAGCAGTTTTCCACTGATCTCCCTCTTTGATGCGGACCCGGTAGTAAGCTTTCCTGAGATCTAGCTTGGTGAATACTTTGCCCTTCGGCAGGTGGTTCAATAAGTCCTTCTTAAGAGGGAGAGGATACATGTTTTTGATGCACACGGCATTCATGCCTCTAAAGTCAACACACAATCTCAATCCGCCATCTTCTCCTTGAACAATACGGGTGCAGCTAATCTTGATTTGGCAGGATCAATAAAACCTCGGTCCAAATTTTGGTCAATGTATTTTCTTAATTCAGCCATTTCAGCAGGCGTCATGGAATACATCTTTGGTTTTGGTAATTTCGACCCGGGCTCTAATTCTATGGCGCAATCAGTGGCTCGATGGGGAGGTAAAACATTACACTCTTCTTCACTGAATACTGTAGCCAAATCTTTGTATTGGTCAGGTACCTGGTGGTTATCTGGGAGAAGGTGGGATGCCATGGATGCTGGCTCAGGCTCTGGGTTCGAGCTGACTGGTGCCTTTGTAGTGGATGGAAGAGGGGGAAATGGGCCCGGTCCAATAAGGATTTTTCTGAATCCATCCTCCCATTTGATCGTCAGGGCCTATTTGTCTAACCAAGCAAGTCCCAGTATTATTGATTCTGACATCTTGGAGGCCACTATGAAGCGTATGAGTTCGCGATGGGGCCCCAATTTCATCTTGATT